TCACTGAAAGCTGAGATGATGGTTGGCATTTTTTAGGAATCAAGTATTTTTTAATGTTTGCATGTTGTTTTTTGTAGACAGTGCTGTTATGCACTTACAGGCTATAGTATGGTGTAAACATAACTTTTAGAATGATGGGAAATGAGAAAACACACTTGACTCACTTTGTTGTGATATTCACTTTATTGAAGTGGTCTGGAACCAAACCTAGATATCTCTGAAGAATGCCTGCATACCGTTTGGTGTGGTTTCGATTCCTAATTTGCTGAGGGTTTTTTTTTTTTTTAATCATGAATGGTTGGCTATTGACTTCTGTTAAATACTTTGTTATGATGATCGATGATCATATAGTTTTTCTGATTTGCTGTTATTTTGAAGAATTACATTTATTTGTGAATTGAACCAGCTTTGCGTTCCTGGCATCCCACTTACATTAGTCATAGTGTATTATCCTTTTTACACATTCCTGGATTTGACTTGATAGTGTTTTGGTTAGGAGGTTTTTCACCTATGTTCTTAGGGGATATTGATCTGTAGTTTGCATTACTTTGTAATGTCTTTGTATCGTTTTGTTATCCAGTTAATTGTGGCCGTTTGTCTAACTTACCAATGTAGTAGCCTAAAGTTGTCATAATTTTTATTTTATTTTATTATTTTTTTAATGTTTATGTATTTTTGAGAGAGAGACAGAGACAGAATGTGAGTGGGGGTGGGGGGCAGATAGAGAGGGAGACACAGAATCCAAAGCAGGCTCCAGGCTCCGAGCTATTAGCACACAGTCTGACATGGGGCTTGAACTCACGAACCGCGAGATCATGACCTGAGCTGAAGTTGGACGCTTAACTGACTGAGCCACCCCGGTGCCCCTTCTTTATTTTTTTAATGTCTATAGTCTCTGTAATGATGCTCTGTATTTCATTTCTGGTACTAATAATTTGTTTCTCTCCCTTTTTTTCTTGATCAGTCTTGCTGGAGACTCATTAGAGAACCACTTCTAGTTTCATTGCTTTTTCTATATTTTCTATTTTGTTGATTTTTGCTTTTTATCACTTCATTTCTTTTGCTTTCTTTGGATTTAATTTGCAGTTTTTCTAATTTCATAGGGTGGTCACTTCAGTTGGCGATTTTCAAACTTTCTTTTCTAATAGAAGTATTTAAAGCCACAAATTTCTAATCATTGTCTTAGCTGCATCCCCAAAACTTACTATGTTGTATTTTCATTTTTACTCAATTCAGAATATTTTTTGTCTTATAATTTCTTTTTTGACCAGTGGGCTATTTGGCATTGTGTTGAAATTTCCAAATATTTGAATATTTCCAGATGTATTTCTGTTTTTGAATTTTAAATTCCATTATGGCCAGAGATCAAATTGATATGAAATACTATTTTTTATCATATATTAAGGGCCCATGTGCAGTTGAGTCTATTTCTGGGTTTTTTTGTTCTGTTCTATTAGAGTGCTTATCTCCGATAGGACTACTTTTTCATACAGCCACTCCCAGGTTTTCTTCTTTATTTTTGAGCTTCATACATATCTTGACTACTAAAAAAATAAAATAAATAAGTTTTTTAAAAACTTATTTATTGAAAATTAAAAAATACATATATAGCAGTTAGAATAGTACAGTAGTATACAAGTACTTTTGAAAATCATACACTCAAGGACAATTTTGTTTCACCTATAACATCCCTTCCCTTTTAGATTATTTTGAAGCATGTCTCAGATATATCATTTTATCTGTAAATAATTCATTTTTCTGGAAATATTAGGGCTCTTAAAACAATAAAACACCTATAAGTACCATTATCACCCCTAAATAGAATGAACAGTTCTTCCCTGATATCCTCAAATTTCTCTAGGTATCTTTAAAATATATGTATATTTTTACAATTAATTTGTTCCAGTTAAGATCCAAATGATGTTTACAAGTTGCATTTGTTTATCATCTTTAAGTCATTTTTAAAAAATTATTTCATGTTGGGCTATTACAAACATTTTTGAAAGGCTTTATCAGCTCACAACCAGTGATGGTCATTCATATCCTCACTGTCTTACACCCTGCCTTCACTGGATTATTTTGAAGCAATCCTAGACATCATATAATTTCACCTATCACTACTTCAGTGTGTATATTTAAGAGTTACAGACTCTTTGTTTTAAAAATCATAGTTAATAGTGCCATTATTCGCTCCTTTAAAAATTAGCAATTATTTTTTGCTATCCAGAGTATGAATTTCCATTACCATCTTTTTTAGAGAGAGCGAGAGCAAGTGGGAGAGGGGCAGAGAGAGAGGGGGAGACAGGATCCCAAGCAGATTCTGTGCTATGAGTGCAGAGCCCATTGGGGGGCTTGAACTCACGAACTGTGAGATCATGACCTGAGCCGAACTCAAGAGTTGGACACTTAACTGACTAAGCCACCCAGGTATCATTTAATATTAAGGTAGATTAAATTTAAGGAAAATATACACACTGTAGACCCAGGTATATGTCTGTATAAATACATATGCGTATGTGCAAATGAGTAGGATAGTGGTTGCTATTAGCGAAGAAAATGGTATGCAGACGGTGGAAGGGAGGATTTTGTTTTGTATAATTGAATTTTTTATGTTTAAAGATTGTAGGGGTGGCTAGGTGGCTCAGTTGGTTAAGTGTCTGACTTTGGCTCAGGTCATGATCTCACGGCTCATGAGGTTGGAGCCCTGCATCAGCCTCTGTGCTGGCAGCTCAGAGCCTGGAGCCTGCTTCAGATTGTGTCTCCTTCTCTTTGCACCTCCTTCACTGCCCTGCTGCCATGGTTGGTCTCTCTCTCTCTCTGTCTCTCATAATAAACATAAAAAATAAAAAAAAAGATTGTATTCAGACATTTTCTGTATGTGTAACTAGAATTTTAAATCTTAAGACTATACACTGGACTGGCTTTCTAATTTTAATATGAGAGTCATAATCAAATATCAAAAAATAGTGAAAAGGTTCAGTTCAGTTAGTGAATTTAATTAGATAACCTTTCATTTGATAAAAATGTTATAGGAATTTGGGGTGGCTTTTCTTTACTAAAAGGAATTGGCTTTTTCTTTTTAATGTTTTACTTCGTTTTGAGAGGGAGAGCGTGAGCAGGGGAGGGGCACAGAGGGGGAGACAGAGCATCAGAGGATCTGTAGTGGGCTCTGTGCCGACAGCATCAAACCCATGTGAGACTTGAACTCATGAAACCCTGAGGTTATGACCTGAGTCAAAGTTGGACATTCAACTGACAGCCACCCAGACACCCCAGGTATTCTCAGGGCACCTCGGTGGCTCAGTTGGCTAAAGTGTCTGATGCTTGATTTGGGCTCAGGTCATGTTCTCACAGTTCGTGAGATGGATCCCTGCATCAGGCTCTGCACTGTCAGTGGGGAGCCTGCTTGGGATTCTCTCTCCCTCTCTCTCTCCTCCACTCACTTGTGAGTGTGTGTGCGCTCTCTCTCTCTCTCTCTCTCTCTCTCTCTCTCTCTCTCTCTCTCCAAATAAGTAAATAAACTTAAAAAAAATTATGTGGAGGGGCACCTAAGTGGCTCAGTCAGTTGAGCGTCCGACTTTGGCTCACTCAGGACATGATCTTGTGGTTCATGAATTTGAGCCCTGCATTAGGCTTGAGGCTGACAGCGTGGAACCCACTTTGGATTCTCTGTCCCTGTGCCCCCCCCCGTCCCTCCCTAGCCCCACCCAGCCCGCTCCTTTCCCATTTATGCTCTCTCTCTCAAAAATAAATAAAACATTTTAAAATAAAGTAAAATTTGTAAAAAGAAATATGTGGACTCTGAAGATCAAATTCAGAAAGCTATTACAATCTTCATTTTTCCCATTTTCATATTGGCTTTTCTGAATAGATAAAATGGTATATAGCTCCCCTAAATGTATACTAAGAAAATTCACATATTTAAAATAAAAGGCAAATTTTGTCACTAAACTAGTAGTTACTTGTATAATTCTGGTGATTTTATGAAGATGCCAAGTTATACCTTCTTTGTGCCTCATACCTTGTTGTGGGCAGTGGTTCATGATTCTTCCCTCAAGTGGCTTTGTTAACATCACTCCGTAAACCCATCACAGACAGCAATCAGTGTTACAATAGACATGCAAGGGAAAGATACACAAAACATGCAGCTAGCTCTTTTGGGCAAACTGGGAAAGATACTACAAAGGAGATAACAGTTGAGCTGAATTCTTCTTCTTCTTCTTCTTCTTTTTTTTTTTTTTTTTTTTTTTTTTTTTTTAGTAATTTCTGCACCCAGTGTGGGATCCGAATTCACACCCTAAGTATCGCATTCGCTACTGACTGAACCACCCAGGCACCCCATGAGTTGAATTCTTAACTAGAATTTTAACAGGAGGAGGACCATAGGCAGAAATCTGGGTGGAACAATAAAAGACGAAAAACATTTTTTAAAAAAGAGCTATTTAGAAATCTGCTACGTGATAGCATGTGATGCTGTGTTTTGAGAAAGCAAGAAATTGTGTAAGAATTCAGTGGTAGGAAATTAAGATGGAGTTAAGGTTAGTATTGGCTCTATATTGGTTTTTGTGAACTATTTTTCTTTGTATACGTCTAATGCCCTTCTGTAGCAAGTGGCATAATTTGGCATATCAGACAGGGGTTATCTGAGTAGTAGTATGAAAGAAACATTTTATAGTGCTGTAAGAGTCTGATGCAGGGATTTGATCAAATCTGGGGGTCATTATAGAGGGTCTCTCTGAGGAAGTTGCTTTCAGGCTGACACCTGAAGGATGAGTCAGAGTTGTCCAAGCTGAGCTTCAAGAATCAGTGTTTGTGACTGAGGCCTAATAGCATGTGTGGCAGGAAAATAGCCCAGAGTGGCTGCAGCAGTGGAGGGAATGGTATAGCATGGCATTGGAAAGGCAGGCAGGAGGGTCCAATCATGCCCAGGCTCGTGGACCGTGTTCATGTGTTTGATTCTGGAGATGCTCTTTTCTAATACTAAGTCATCTTTTCTGCAGTACCAAATATGCCCCAACAGCGGCAAGACCAGCATCATCAGAGCACCATGATGCACCCAGCCTCAGCAGCAGGCCCACCGATTGTGGCCACCCCACCAGCTTATTCCACACAATATGTTGCCTATAGTCCTCAGCAGTTTCCAAATCAGCCTCTTGTTCAGCATGTGCCACATTATCAGTCTCAGGTAAGGCCGATACGACCGAACTCTTCATTTTTGTTCCATTTAAATAACTTCTAACTTTTAATATGGTAAAGGGGTTTTCCTTTATAGTTGTGCTGTGTGTTATGGTGAAGTAGATAGCTAAGGACTTGGGGGGGTCTTTTTCATAGAAGATTGCTGATCAGTGTTAACGTATTTCAAAGGAAATAGCCAAAAACAGTTTTAGGATTTTCAGACTTGTTTCTGGAAACCATGGAGTTAAGACATCTAACTAAAATTTGCTTGACTGTATTTGATAGTTTAATGTTTTCTCTTTATTTTTTGTTTGAACACAGCATCCTCATGTCTATAGTCCTGTAATACAGGGTAATGCTAGAATGATGGCACCACCAGCACATGCCCAGCCTGGTTTAGTGTCTTCTTCAGCAACTCAGTACGGGGCTCATGAGCAGACGCATGCGATGTATGGTAGGAGGACTTTTGTTTGTCTCTTTCAGTTTGTGTGACTATTCTTAATTTGTTTTAAACCTCTGAAAAGATACTTTAAGAATAACTTGTGCCATTGAGGGTCATGAATCTAAAGAAAAGATGAACCCATTTCTATAAGTTTTGGCAAATCTGTTCCTAAAACTCCTCTGTCTTCAGATGTTTCTCCTTAGTTTAACTGAAACGTAATGATTTGTGTAACAGAAAGCATCTTTTGTGGAGAAAGCCATCTACTTCCTCTTCCTCATCAGTATTACCACCACTTGGCATGGCCTGCCGAAGGCACAAAAGAAAGTTTTACCATAATGAAAGCACTCTCCAGCAAGAAAACATTCTGCTTCTCTTCTTCCCCTGGAAGTTACTGGCATTACGTATTTTTATTGCTCTTTGTTAACATTTTAACAAATGTTAACAAATGTTAAAATGTTAAAAAGTATGTTTTTGCCTCATGCTGTATTTTAAGTGGTCAAAATAGTCTAACATTAGATATGCTTTAGACATGAGTCACATTAAAAAAAAATTTTTTTTTCAACGTCTATTTATTTTTGGGACAGAGAGAGACAGAGCATGAACGGGGGAGGGGCAGAGAGAGGGAGACACAGAATCGGAAACAGGCTCCAGGCTCTGAGCCATCAGCGCAGAGCCCGACGCGGGGCTTGAACTCACGGACCGCGAGATCGTGCCCTGGCTGAAGTCGGATGCTTAACCGACTGCGCCACCCAGGCGCCCCAGACATGAGTCACATTTTAAATACAGTCATCATAAGCAATGGTAAAATGAAGGAAAGTATCCTATATAAAATAATTAAATGGTATATATAAGAATAATAAGCAGAAATCTCCATCTGAGTTTTATGGCTGGAGAACTTTGTGCAGGTCAACTTAGGTGTCTGAAGTACTAAAATAATATGGTTTTCACTGTTGAGAATTTAAGATTTCCACTTACATCTTGTAATATAGAATCAGTGAGTTGACCCATATTATAGTTTTCAAAATCACATTAAATTAGTGCTGATTTCATTAAGATGTAAATTTTGTTGTGAACTTTTCCTGAGCACTCCTGTGCGGTCAGTTAGGTTTTCCCATTGGCGTTTCAATTTTTAGAGTGTGAGGAGAGAAATTCAAGTTCATTCATACAGATAAAAAGTGTGCCACTCTTAGAATGGAAATCATAGTTACATGTGGTTACATGGCCATTTCAGTTCTTAACCCTTTTAAAACTTTTTTAATGACTAAGAATAAAGATTTTCTCCTTTTTAACTTCAGGTGACACTTGATTTTAGAGGTTCATAAGACTAGGTGGGACTCAGGCAGCAGCAATCATCCTTCTTGTCACCTGTAACCTGCTCGTGCTTACTTCCTGGAGACATGCTTCTATTGCATATGTTCACGGTGGTAGGAAATCTACATGATCATAGGCATGGTTTTTATAAAATAACTTAAATCTGATCTTAATTTTCCACATTATCACTTAAAACTTCCTAGTGTGGATTATTCTCTTTGAATTAAAATGAGGTAATTGCTACATTTTGGGAAACTTTCTTACAAGAAACCCATTCACAATTTAATTGAAAAGTATATCAACAGACTGATTTTGGTTATGATTGCTTGTCATTGGCTTGTCTTAACCAGGACTAAATATGTATAAAAAGACACCATTGACTCATCATGTATGCTTTTATGCAATTTGTATATATTTCAACAATTTTCTGGTTTGCTAAAGGCTTAGGTGAAAAGTTCATTATGATTTTTTTTATATATTTCTGATAAATACATCATGATTTAACAAGTGGAGAAAACATTTCTCTCCTCCCATTTTCTGGCATATTCCCCTTTGAATAAGATCTAAAACTTTTGAACTAAAATTTCCATTGCTTTTAGAGAACAACTGTCTGTGTACCCATGCTTTTGAGACATTGTAGTAATACTGTGATGTTGAGAAGAATCTTTCTCCTCAGTGTGTTCACTCACTGCCAGCATCTGGTTTTTCCTTTTGGATGAATGTTCGTTGGTTTGAAATCGCTTGTACAGTAAACACTGTATTTGAGACACTAATGGTTTTATAACTACCTTCCCAAAACTTTTCTATTTGAAAAGCAGTTGGCCTTGGACCCTGAAGTCAATTGAAATATGGGTAAATCAGAAATACTGCAGACAAAACATTAGACCTAATGTCCAGTGAAATCTGGAATGAACTAGTCATTAAGACCAGTTTTTTAAATGCCAGGAGAAAGTTGCTCAGCCAGATCTGAACTGCTCTCCTGCAATTTCCATGGCTTGTATTTAATTGATGTCTGTTGATGAGGGGACAGGTTGGGGTGAAGCTCTGGATTTCATAGGATTGTTGCTGGTTACTCAGGGTTCTCATTTGGGTACTCCATACTCTAAAAAGAACAGTAGGAAATGAAGTATAAGCCATAATTTAATCTACTAAAGCAAATTCATTAATTCTTCAATAATTATTTCAGTTATCTTAGATCTTCCAAATCTTAATTATGCCAGATAAAGACACATAGATATGTTTTCAGAGTACATTATTTTAAACTTAAGATATATTTGTTGCTTAGAAATGCTAATTTTACTCTCATACCCCTCGAGCAGTTTATATTTCATATTCCCAAAGGAACCAAATGTTTTTAGTATGAATTATGTTTATTGTTAAGATCCGTTCTATCTAAATATTTTCAAATTTTTATGCAAACAAAAGAATATGCACCGAGATGTTGGCAACAGTTCTGTGTCACCTTTTTGTCACTTACCAAGTGGATGGCCATAGCAAAAGGCTTTGAGAATAGAAAGGACAGTAATGACTAAAGACTGATTGTTATCTTCAGATGGTTGGTATGCCGACAGATTACTGACCAGTTACATTGTTAGGAGTTATCATACATTCTAAGTAGTTGTTGACCTTGTTCTCTTTCTAGCTATCTTAGAAAGGATTTTGATCACAAAAACTTCATCTCTTTGACTTTAATCATTGCCCCATCCCTCCTAAGAAGTTTTTCTTAGGAGTAACGGAAGAAGTTCCTTTTTGTTTCTTTAACATCTTGTCTTGTAATTCACCTAATTTTCTTCTAGGGCAGTGGCATTTTCCCTTTCAGAAATAGTAGTAATGAAACTTTCTCTACCAACTAGAGCCATCAAGAAGAGTTAGATCCAGAATCCTTTTTGAGTTTGTTTTTGGTAGTTTAATGCAGATAAATTAGAAAATACAGGAGGCAAAAAGATTGAGAATGCACCTGTTACCCCTCCACCTGATAATTACCTGTTAACATTCTGGTGCATATCCTTCCAAGTGTACCTACACCCCATTTATGTAGACATTTTAATAAGGAATGATATCACACCCATGTTTAATATTAACTATTTTTTCTTAAGTTTTGGGATTCACTTCCAGATGCCTGATAAATATCTTACAGAATAATGATGTTTTTATTAATAATGATTTACAAATCTGTTTGAGTCTTTTGAATTAAACTTGGTAAATACTCTCTTATTCTGGTACATTATTTTTATTAAGGTTATTCAGTGGAATGCCTTGTTGGTCTTTCGATTAGATGATTTTATTCATTTAAACAAGTCAGCATGTGGAACTCAGCATATCAATACAGAAGAAAAATGTTTCTTGGTTCAGCCCTATCTTGTTTAATTTTGTAGCAATGTTTAAAGTACTTGTCATCTCTTGTAAAATAAGAAAAATGATTTATGCATGAATACAAAAAGAAATTTATAAATATGTCAACCTTTCCAGAAAATTAGGAAAATGCACACCTCAAAAGGCTAATTTACCTTTCTATTTCCCAAATTCAGCATGCCCCAAATTACCATACAACAAGGAGACAAGCCCTTCTTTCTACTTTGCCAGTGAGTTGGGTTTTTTATACTAATTTTAATTGAACAGTAAAACACTTTTTAAAGAATACATGTTAAGGGAGTAGACTTGTTGAGCAGTATTTTCCTTGTGCCAGACAAAATCATTGAAAATATGTATATTTGTAAATAATTCAGAGTTTTAAAAAAAGGAAATATAACCCAGCTTAAGAAAGCTGGAGTTAATTAAAAAATTGAGTTGCTTCAGAAATTAATTTTTGCATACCAAGCAAACATGTGACTGTTTTGGAAATGCCTAATATTTTCCTTGTTCAGAGAAACTTCTCCAGAAATCCATTTTTTTTTCCTTTTTTTTCAACCAAGCCACAAACTTAGTATAAAAAGCTTAAAATATTAGGCTTTTTCAGTATCCTGGCTAGAAGAAATTTATCCTCATAAGGATTTTTAATTGAATAGGTTTGAAAATTTAGGGAAGAAACATTTCTGTCTTTTCAGTCTTTGCATGACTGAAGGTTTAAAATACTCAAGTGGTAGACACCCAGGATGTTTTGAGCTTCACCAGGAAAGCATGACCTAGCTGCTTGATTCTGTTTGGCAGCACTGGCCCCTCTCACTACCAGTGAAAAGGTAAATAAACGATGGCTCCTAAATGGAGAAAGTCTGGGCAGGGCTCTCTTTTGGAAATGAACGTGTAGGGTACATCATAATTTATTTTGTAGGGCAGTTTTTAAGTAAGGCTAGTCGTGGACTTTTGGTATTTGGATAGGAAAGGTACTAAGTTGCAGAAGTCCTTCAGAAGTGTATGCCAGTAATGAGTAACTTTATGTGCAATATTATATTCTAAGGGGCATTAAATATTAAAATTTTAGATACTAAATTTTGGGTTACTTTAGAAAGACTTAATGTCTGAATCTACTAAATGCCAGATTTTAAAAAGTGTTGAGAAAACATTTTGACTTAAGCTTTCATTAACTATGCCATGACTTGGTATCCAAAAATAAGTGTGTACTTGTTATTTATTTGGTGCTAGGAATTGTTAACAAATTTAATCCTTTAATAGATGCTCTTTAAAAAGGAGTCTTGCTGTATATCTGTACCATTAAAGGGAAATTTTGTATGTGATATAGTATGTAAAAAACAGTTTCAGTAATTAATTTTATTATGTACTCAATTTGAGGTCTCAAATGTAGTTATCCTCACCATCTTACTGTCTCTGTTTAATAATTTTGGAGTCAGTTTCCTGGTAAGTAGCTAAAAGTTTCTTAATCATCACACCTAAGTATTAACTGCCTTAGTATAACTTCCCTTAAGAGGAATTATTAGTTCTTAAAAGAAGCTAACAGTGGGGCTGCTATTTATAATTTAAGTTGCTGCTTGTACCACCCCCTCCCCACAAGCCATTTTGCCATGGTTTGGTCTAGTTGCATTTTACCCCTTTTTAAGAGTTCAGCTTTCCTTTACTTCTTTTTTTCTGAATTTAACATCAAGTTTAAAAGTTGGAAGATTTTGTTTTCATTTTTAGTGTTGCAGTGCTGGTGATCTCTCATGACTTGTGCATCCAAGGTCAAAAATGACAAAACCTAGTTACAAATTAAAGGCACAACATTATTGACTGAACTGGCTTCAGTAAGATCATGGCTTAGGAAACAACTTTTAGAATGTGGTTAATGTTATGAGGATTTGACAAGTCACGTATATAGAGTTGTAAACATTTGTATCAAGGGACACAATGAGTGAGGAACTTTTGGACCAGGTCTGACCCAAAAAAAGCAATACTTCTTTGATTAGCCTGCATTAATCCAGATTTCATGAAGGCAACTCAATTTTTATAAATAAGAAGTTTGATGAATAGGTAAATCAGAGTTTTGAAGAACATTTATTTTTACCTTTTGGACTCCTCAGCTAAATTAGCAAGCATGGATAATAAAAGCAGTTAAATGCTTGACGTAGCTCCGTAAAGCCCAGCATTTACTGTTCTTCACTCTCCACTTCTCCCTTCTCTGATTCCAGTAGATTTCTTCTACAGTTTTATTCTATCTTGATTCCTTTCTCTTGGCTCTCTCTTCCCTTCCACCTGTTCCCCCGTCAGCCTTTTAATGTCCCTCCTATCCCGTCTGTCTTTGTCTCCTTCATAACTGGCCTTTTGAGGAACCAGACCGTATTTTTGTTGTCATAAAGATTGAATTAAAGTATCGATTTCACATTTTTCCCAGTCACCTACCCAGTTTTCCTATGTAATTTGGGAAAAGAGTTCCTGGATCAGGTACTGGTTAGCAGATATCTTTTAAGCAAGAAGATAAACAGAGGAAAATATTTCTAATTAAACTTTTAAAAGTTTTATTTGCAGCTAATGAAGCATATTTACATGTCCTTGATTTTTCTTATGATGCATTCTAGTTTGCTGGTGCTTAGGTAGGGAAAGGATGGGTGTTTTAAACAAAACCTGTATAGATGCACGCAGTTTGGATTACTTGAAGTACTTGTGCTGTCAGTGCAAAGGAGCTATAAATTATAATACTCTACTTTAAAGCCTTTCACTGTTGGTAAAGTACTCTCGCAGAGATTCCTTTTAAAAATGCACAATAAGACATATTTCATCTTTAATTTTTTCCAAATAATTTCAAGATTTTAACCCTTTTAAATTGACGAATTACTTCAGTATGAGACGTAAAGACATAATTAGTCTCTTAGTGAGGTCCTGTTTCTATGTGGGAAAATTAGTAAGACAGCACCCAGCTAGAATTTATTTATTGTTTTTAGTTCCTTAAAATTTTGCTTAGAAAGTCATTAAAACTACAAACATTTCTTGAATAAATAAAGTTTAAAAAATAGAAACTCTGAGATTCTGTACTCTCTCTTTATGAAACCTCATAAATAGAATATGGGATTCAGGAATTGCTTCTCCCTGGATAGATTTAGTATTGTTACAAATGAAACATTTCAGAAGCTTGGGGTGTGTGGAGGATTTTAATGCTGGTAGTTTGAAAATAAGGAACACGAGGGGTGCCTGGCTGGCTCAGGCTATGGAGCATGCTACTCTTGATCTCTGGGTCATAAGTTGGAGCACCATGTTGGGGGTGGAGATTACTTTAAAAAAAAAAAAAAAAAAGGAAAACGAAGAAAGAAAAGAGGGATGAAGGATGGAAGAAAAGGAATGTGAATGATTTCAGACGTCACTATCCAGTAGAACTTTCTATGATGAAAGTATGCTATAAATTGTGCTGCCTAATCAGCCACTAGCTACATGTGGCTATTTTAGTTATTTAAAAATACATTTGAAAAATGAGTGTAAGATTTTTGCAGGAGTAGAGTCCGGTTCAAAATTTATGTCAAGTCTTTTAGACCAAGTCAATATCTAGACACTTTGAGGGGTTCTGAAAGTTAGCCTAGTGAATGTGATAGTGGAAAATGGCCTTCTAATAAGCAAATGATTTAGAAGAAAGACACTAACTGACTTTTATTGACTTGTGGGACCGTGGAGTTAAGGAAATCAGCACATCATTCTTCCCAACTCTCAGAAGACAGGCACTGACTTCCTAAAAACACCCAGAGAGTATCTTGCCACAATTTTCCTTATTAATATATTCCAGTGTATATAGGGAAATGTTTTCAGTGTGTAAACCAAAGTGTTTCGTTTAATCTGGGCATTCATGAATATTCATTAATGCCCACTCTGGTGTTGGCAGTGGATGCACAGGTGATCCTAGCACTGGCTCTTTGCCTCGCCCTTCCCTCTTTTAAAAGGTGCATATATATAGGGCACCTGGCTGGTTCAGTAGGTAGAGCATGCAACTCTTGATCTTGGGATTGTGATTTCAGACCCCATGTTGGGTGTAGAGCCTACTTTTAAAACACACACACACACACACACACACACACACACACACACACACACACA